AAAGCGTTTTATTTTCGCGGGCAGAAATTGCACGATATTGCCTCGATGCGCCAGCGGAACAGAACTCGACGAAGTACAAGTTATTAAGCGATCTCGACGATGTTATTTCGTGATGACCCTAGAACTCATAAAACGGATCTACTTCGTCGCGCTTCCTTCGGTGTATCACGGCTCCGCGTTTTCAGTTACGTAAGTTTACTTCCACGTTATCAGGTAAAGTCATTCCAGCTGCGCTTGCCGTCAAAAACATGAATAAAACTCGCGATTGCACGCGAAGAAATATGTGTCTAGGAATAGCGCATTATTTATATTAGTCGTTTTATTAACAAAACGAACAGGAGTTTTGTAATTGAAATAAATTTCGTACAAGTTAGTGTCGTGATTTATTTCTCTCTTCTTTCATAAAAGCAGATCTCGAATCGAATATAAGAAAATAAAAACAAAACAACCATCTAAGAGAAAAAAATCGAGGTCACATACATTTTTTGTGATAAAAAAATCAAAAATCTCGCGATTGCACGCGAGGAAATACGTGTCTATAGGAATAGCGCATTATTTATTAGTCGTTTCATTAACAAAGACGGACAGGAATTTTATAATTGGCGCAAATTTCGTATAAGTTATAGTATCGTGATTGTTTTTCTCTCCTTTCATAAAAGCAAATCTCGAATTGAATATAAAAAATAAAAACGGGACAACCATCTAGAAGAAAAAAATCGAGGTCACATACATTTTTTTTTGTAATAAAAAAAAAATCAAATGTCTGCGTTCTCCTTTAATATTGATCGTAAATGTATCCGACATGGCATTTTGAAAAACTTTGAGCGTTTCTTGCGACCCTTTTTGAAGACCTTTCGCGCTGCTATTGCGTCAAGCTTTTTTTACGATCGTAAATCCGTGGTCCCATTCTTTCTCTGCGTTTATTTCTTGACTGAGGACGGAAATCCTTACGTTTCTCTCAAAAACACAGATCGTAAAATCCGCTGCGTCATCAGACACATTGCACGCTATTTTTATCTTTTTTTTACAATCACGATATGCAACGCTTAGCTTTGCAATTTCATTCAATACACACACATAGAGAGAGAGAGAGAGAGATACATCTATATTTTGTCTCTCACTCGAACTTATTAAACATATCCTCAGTCTCATTATGCCTTAATCCTAGATTCCACAGGGCTCGAGCAAGAAAATGCAACGCTCGCACAAGTTCCGCAGACGCATCCATCCACGATCTTATTTAGGGATGGTTGAAAAGCTCGCTATACATACAAGTATACCTCGCCGCAACGCTTTTTATTATTCCACAGCGTGTGAGGCGAAGCTAAGGGCGTGTCGCTCTATTTGCATTCTCATTACCATCGGCGGTTCTTATTTAAATAGGTGAACAACTGCAAAGCACTCCGGTGGTCGTGGAGCTCGTTAGGCGTCCTCTCCTAAGTGGGTGAGAGAGAGAAGCGTGTGCATAGGTACATCCGTTGCAACCACGGTCCTCCTTCCCTTTAAGACGTAGCCGAGAAGAGAAACAGAGAGCGAGCGAGAGGAAAAGAGTCGGTTGACTGCAATTTCGCGCGAGGAGACGCGAATTCTCGTTGCCCTCTCGACCTCTCGGGATGGAGGAGAAGGCGGAGGGAAATCTTTTAAATTCAACGCGGTACGCTTCATTAGTGGCCGCGGTTTGCTCGGCGGCCGCAACGATTTAATCCGGGCTTGCGCGCGGCGTCAAGCCGCGCTCGCGCCGTCCCGAGCGAAATTGAATTTCGCTGCGGCGGTAATGGATCAGAACGTTCCGGCCTGGGGAAACGTTAGGCCGCGCCGGAAACGCCAGGTCGACTCGTTGTGTATCTCCTCCCGGATGCGGAATCTGTTCGAGCGTATACACATATATACATATAAGGCCGACTCGACGCAACGCAACGCGAAACGCTCCGGGAAACGACGTCGGAAGAGGCAGGAATATGATATATATATATATATATATATATATATGTATATTTAGCATGCGTGCGAACGACGCGCGTAATCGAGAATCTTCTCGGGGAAAACTTGGAGAGCAGCGCGAAAAGTCTCCAAGATAAATCCCGTAACTTTTGCGAAAACTTTGCGAATTTAATTTGAAATTTATAATTATTCCAGCACGAATATGAACTGGTGGAAACTCTTATTCAAATTTTATCCCCCTTCCTTTCTACACACCTTATGTATATGTATATATTCTTACAGTCTGTTATATATTTTATTATATAACTGTTAACATTTAATTTATTTTATCAATAACAAGCAATTTACATCGCAATAATATTCACAATATATTTCTGCTTTATCGCCTTAGAGGTAGATTTGTAGGAAACTCGCGTAGAAAACCCGACATACATAAATATCGATTAAAATGTATAATAGAATACAAATAAAAGTTTTGATTTAAAAAGTTAAATTAAAATAAACGCAAATTTATTATTGATACATTATATTATAGATTTATTTTCTAAACGTGTATATACTATATTGATAAAGGTAATTTTTAAAATACACGCCTGACATGTGACGGAAGGAAAGTAGCTGCACAGCCAGTTTCCTCCAGTAGATTTTCAAACCTGTCGAACCATTACGTAACGCTATGCAAATATTGCGCCAAGTCCTTCGAGAGTAAAACGTCGAGTACACGAAAGATTTCTCAGTTCGGAAACAAGAGCAACGGCAGAAGCTTCTTGGAATTATAACGCGGAACAACTTTCGTGCTTGCAAACGACGAAGTTCGACCTTACGATCCGATCCAATATATTACGCAAAGATATGCGTACCCCTTTGAATTTATAATGGCACGTAAACTCACCTAGTTTTCAAGTAATAGCTTGACAAGCATTTTATTTCGTTCGCGCCTCTGTTATCTCTGGCAAGTTTTTCGTAAATTAAGACACCGCGTAACGCATAATTAAACTCTGCCCTATTTTCACTGACAAAGCAAATTCAACTGCCTTTATCAACGGACTGTGTGCTACTCGCGTTACAAATTGCCGCAGGGTATAATACCTTAACTTTGAGATCTAATTCCTAAGTAATGAGATCTAATTCCTAAAGTAATTTTCATTTAAATACATCATGTAACGTTTACAACGTATGTCTAACATGCATCTGACTCGGTGAATATATATATAATTGTACGATTATACAATCAAGTAGATTGTCGGAAACGCATCACTCATCTATTTATGCGTTTCCTCTTTAAAAGTTTTATTATTTAACGCAAATGTTATATTCGATATTAACATTTCAACGTGAAAGCTTTTTCTCAACATTTGTGACATTTTACAACTCGATTGTTATTTTTTTCAACAACCAGAAACCGGAGAGCTTTATATTATTTAACTATGTAATATAAACTGTAATTAGCTTGTCATCTAATTAGTACAGAATTTAATTAACTACCTTAATTTTAAGAGAAATAATGCGTTGCATATCTGCCGTGAAAATCTGGCGAATTAATTAATGAGGATGCGAACGAGAAAATGTCTAACGATCCCGAGAACGGATGGAATTTTACAAAGGATCTAAGTAGGGAAAGCGATAAGCGGCAAACAGATTAAAAAATAAAATATCCCCCCGACATGGAGCAGTCGGCAAGTATATTGATTTTTCTACTTCGATGCAGCCAATGACCTAACGTTACCTCGCGCTGCACGACCCTAACAAAGTTATTCGAAGAATGACAGGCTGTACACGGCGTATAACACACGGAGGAAATCGACACCCATTTACCACTTCGTATTCTCGATCATGTCCCCTACATACGTGACCTTCCTCCCCTACCTACCTCGATGTCGCAGCCGAGCATCTTAAGACACCATCTGGCAACCATCCAATCCGGTCATATTTTTCCGATCTCGTAACGGGTCACGCGGGTATGCGACAGCATCCCCGAGCCTCGGAGATTTACTACGAGCATTAAATTACGACCGTCGCGGGATGATCTTCGGAATCGCGATCCCTTGAACGAGAGACATTGAGACTAGTCCAGGTTGACCAACGACCCTGTTGACTTTTTTTTTTCTAAGAACGTTTACTCGTCGGCTTTTCGGTCTCGCGGGATCTGACCTTCCCTTGCTGAAAATTGAGGTTTGCCTGAGAAGTACGTGTACTCGTATGTATATTGTACATGTGTTCGTGGTTTGTTGAAAACAGGATCATATTTTTTCGTGGCCGTATAAAACATACAGAATACAAGTCACGGCATTTGCACTTTGAACGAAAAAAGAGAACTAGAACTTATAATCTTTTCTTATATCATAGTTGGGATGAAAAATAAATCTCTACATCTATTTACGAACTTATTAAAGAAAACGTAACATTTTAGAAACAGAAATAAATATTTATAAATACTTGCATAATTATTAATTTGAAGATCTATATTGGTTAATATAAGAAACTACATTTAATATAAAATTTTGATAGAATTTATAATCTTTTCTTATATCATAGTTGAGATGTGAAAATAAATCTCTACATCTATTTATATACGAACTTATTAAAGAAAACGTAACATTTTAGAAACAGAAATAAATATTTATAAATACTTGCATAATTATTAATTTGAAGATCTATATTGGTTAATATAAGAAACTACATCTAATATAAAATTTTGATTCTATTTCTTATATCTTTTTTTATCAAGTGTATTCTTGGATATTTTCCACTTCGTAAGATTATTATCGAGAACGATACACAAGATGTCCTGACGTTAAATCCAATATAGTTTAAATCTAAAGTCTGTCTTACGTCGATACAGAATCAGATTAAAATTGTACTGTCCAAACTGTCAAACGCACTTCTAGATACTCTCCCATTTATTTTCAAGAATATTACATAATACCCGTATATCAAACGACGAATCGAATTGTATATGTATATACGCAAAGAAAACCGATAACAAATTTGTTTCGCGTATATCTAATTGGAATTTCCCATGAGATCTAATGAAATTTTCCCGCATTTTTTGTTCGCAGGGTACCCGCGGCGGTGAAATCCGTGAGTGTCGGCGCGAGAAACGATGAACGAATCGGGACGAGCCGGGAACGAAGCGGCGCGATAATAATAATATGTGGACGACGCGGCCGCGGACCAGACGAAAGTGGCGACAAACGTCGACCCCGTCGTGCAGAGAACGTGACAATCGGCGGAATTGCCGTCGGGACAGTTTCCGCATCATCTACTCGGTGATATTGGCGGCCTGTATGGCGACGCAGGAAGCGAGGTGCGCCAAGTGTCCGCCACCAGACACAATACCCGGCTGCCCGTGTTACAACTTCGAGAACGGCGGTCTGTTTCTGGAGTGCGCAGGTGCTACCGAGGAGTCCCTCAGGAACGCTTTGTCCGGCGTGATACATGCCGCCGGCGAGGAAGGTAACCGTCCACGATACAACACGCAAAAAGCGAGGATCACCGGAGAACCGTGTATTCCCCTTCCGCATACATAAATAGAAACCAACTACTGTCCGTAGATTGGAGTAACGGTTTACTAGCAGAAAACAGCTGTGACTCTCTCAGAATAAAAAAGGGACAAGACTCGAGAGACCATTCAGTATTACGTGCAAATTGTCAATGAACCGAGATACATTCTTAACTTTTACTTTTTCCGTCGTCGAATCGCAATAAAAAGATAATTTAACTTGATTTTGAAAATTTAAAAGGATTATATAAATATATATTCTGGAGAGTATTTAAATTTATAATGTATATGTCTGTTGGTGGAAAAAACATTTTAATTTACCCGACAATATTAATTCTTTAAATTCTCTTCTCTATTATCGTACACATCTCACATCAATTTCTAATTTCTCTAAGTTTATAAAATTACATATTGAATCATTAATTACATATTGAAATATTAACTTATGCATAATTATTTTAATAAAGAATGATTTAATCCTCTTTTACACTTATTCGACACAAAAAGTATTTAAAAAATAAAAAAATGTAAATAACTCGCAAAACATATTAATAGCTTTACGCAAAATATCACCCGATTGTTGCAGGAGCGCTCGTTCAATCATTGAGCGTGTACGAATTGGATCGAAAAGTGGAGGAATTACGATCCGCCGCTTTCCCTGCGGGCTCGCAAATTAGGCATTTGCAAATATCGCATTCCGCGATCCGGGAAATAAGCGAGGATGCTTTCCAGCGACTGAGCAAAAGCCTGGAATCCTTGGCACTTGTATCCGGCCGACTACCTCACGTACCTCAAAAGGCTATGGCCACGTTGAGCCTACTCAAAGCGTTGGATCTGGAAGCTAACCTCGTTTACGAGCTGCCTAGCTTCAGTTTCTACGGGCTCTCGTTAATTAAACTAAACCTAAAGGGTAATCAAATCATGAAAATTTCGGAATACGCCTTTGCCGGTCTCGAGAGCACTTTAAAGGATTTAGATCTGGCGGAGAACAAGATCAGAGTGTTCCCCATGACTTCCTTAAGAAGATTAGAGCATCTCACGTCCTTGAGGCTCGCATGGAACGAGGTATCTCAACTCCCGGAGGACGGCTATTCCAGGCTAACCGCCTTAAACTTCCTCGATCTCAGCAGCAACAATTTCAAGGACATTCCGCTCAATTGCTTTCGCTGCTGTCCGTCCTTAAAGACTCTCTCCCTTTACTACAACGCGGTCGAGTCTGTCGACAAGGATGCCTTTATATCGTTAATCGATCTCGAGTCGATAGATCTCAGCCACAACAAGATCGTGTTTCTTGACGTGGCCACCTTCCGTGCCAATCAAAAGCTAAGGTCGATCGATCTCAGCCATAATCACATACACTACATCCGGGGCGTGTTCTCAAGGCTGCCCGAGCTGAAGGAGCTCTTCCTCGCGGAGAACAACATTCTCGAGATCCCAGCAGAGACGTTCGCCGGTAGCACGAGTCTCTCGGTCGTTTATCTCCAGCAGAATGCCATCAGAAGGATCGACGCGCGTGGTCTGGTGACGCTCGGTCAATTGGCGCAGCTACATCTAAGCGGAAATTACATCGAGAAAGTGCCACGTGACTTCCTCGAGCACTGCGAGAATCTGTCGACGCTCTCGTTGGACGGCAACAATATTCGCGAGCTCGAGGTAGGTACGTTCGCCAAAGCGAAGCAACTGCGCGAGTTACGGCTGCAGGATAATCAGATTACCGAGGTAAAGCGCGGCGTGTTCGCGCCGTTACCTTCGCTACTCGAACTCCATTTACAAAACAACGCCATCACGGACATGGAGACCGGCGCCCTGAGATCCTTGCACAGTCTGCAGCACGTAAATCTGCAGGGTAATCTCCTGGCAGTGCTCGGCGACGTGTTTCAAGTGTCAAATGACCTCGGTCAGAGCGAAAACAGCGGTAGCTCCTTGGTTTCCATTCAACTGGACAACAATGGACTCGGCGTTTTGCACAATGACTCGTTACGCGGCCAGGCCTCGGTCAGGATCATGTGGCTCGGACACAATAGGCTGACGCGTCTTCAAGCTCCATTATTCCGGGACCTGTTGCTGGTCGAGCGCTTGTATCTTACGAACAATTCCATCTCGCGGATCGAGGATACCGCCTTCAAGCCGATGCAGGCTCTCAAGTTCCTCGAACTCAGTATGAATCGGCTGAGTCACGTGACTGCCAAAACATTCTCGGAGCTACACGAACTCGAGGAGCTCTATCTGCAAGACAACGGTCTACGTCGCCTGGATCCTTACTCCTTGACGGCCCTTAAAAGATTGCGCGTCCTCGACCTGGCTAACAATCACCTGAACGTGCTGCACGATAAGATCTTCCAGGAGGGGCTACCGATCAGAACGCTCAATTTGAAGAACTGCACCGTCAGTGTGATCGAGAGCGGTGCCTTTCGCGGATTGAACAATCTCTACGAGTTGAATCTCGAACACAATCATTTCACTGCCACGGCGTTAGATCGCCTAGATATACCAGGATTAAGAGTTCTAAGAATCTCGTATAACAATTTCAGTCAGATCAACGCGAATTCCTTGGACGGTTTACCGTCCCTTCAGCATCTAGCGATGGAGTCGTCGCAGATATACAGAATATCAGCCGAGATATTCTCGAAGAACAAGAATCTAGGAAAGCTATTGCTCAGCAACAATCTACTCAGGGTACTGCCAGCGACATTATTCTTGGGCTTGGAAGCGCTCAAGGAGATCAAGCTCGACGGCAACAGGTTCCAGGAAATACCGTACGACGTATTTGCGAACGCCACCACGGTAGAATTTCTCTCTCTCGCCAACAACGTTCTTCTTCATGTGGATATGTCGCGGCTGAACGGATTGATCAGTCTACGCGAGCTCGATCTACGCGGTAACTATATCAAGTCTCTCAACGGCTTCGCCGCTGTCAATTTCTCTCGCTTAATATCCGTGGACCTGAGCCATAATCACTTAACGGCTCTTCCGGCAAATTTCTTCGCGCGTTCGAATATGCTGCGGAAAATCGAGTTGGCGGCTAATAAGTTTCGGCAAATACCCGCCGTAGCGCTCACGGCGCAAAATATACCCGGTCTAGCCTGGCTGAACGTCACGGCTAATCCTCTTGTGAGAATACACGAGATCAGCTCGGAGGCGAAGTATCCGGCTTTACAGGAAATTCATATCTCCGGGACAAATTTAACTATAGTTACCAGCCAGGACTTTGAGGCATTTCCCGCTTTGATGCATCTCTTCATGGGTAGCAATATGATATCCAGGGTATCGCCTAGCGCATTTCGAAATCTTCCGAATCTACTAACATTGGATCTTAGTGTTAACAAGCTGGAGCTACTACCGCAGGAAAGACTGAAAGGACTGGAACACCTCAGACTGCTGAATCTCACGCACAACCATTTGAAAGAGCTCGAGGACTTCCCGCCTGACCTGAAGGCTTTGCAAGTGCTCGATCTCTCGTACAATCAGATAAGCGGAGTGGGAAGGAGCACGTTTCAACATCTGGAGAGTCTGGCCGAGCTGCACCTCTATGGAAACTGGATATCGTCGATCTCCCCGGACGCGTTCAAGCCGCTGAAAAAGCTCAGGATTTTAGATCTAAGTAGGAACTACTTAGCGAACTTACCGCTGAATGCCTTTCGACCTCTCGAAACGCAAATACGGAGTTTGCGGGCCGAGGGTGAGTACGATTTATTACTTTATTTGCGTGCTCCGCGCGCGATTTTAATCCGTTACTTTTATGGAAATCTACCTCACTCTGACGCTTCAATTAAGAAAGATAATTACAGCAAAATTATACGCGCACAATATCTTTAAAATAAATTTTTTAAACATATTTTTCAAATATATTTTTCAAATATATCTTTAAAAAATAGAAGATAATATTTGTATTTTCTTTTATACTATAATATAATTTGTATATCTTTTTTTTATTTCTTAGAAAGCGGTAAGTATTTCCCGAGTCATTTTATCGAACAAATATTTGTATACCTTGAAATTGTTATTCGGTTATTTATCTAGAATTGGCATGAGAGAGTTTCCTTACGTTCGACAACATTGTTCGCGCATCGTACATGTGCCATTCACAGAAATCACATCGCTCTCCGTTCGATAATAGCAATCACAGCCGGTGAGATGATTGGTTGCATGCAAAATTCGTCACCGAGTATGTCTTTGCATGCGAGCGAGTTCGAGTCAGTTGAAAATAGTCGTACAGGTAGTTACACTCGCGGAACTCCTCGATGTCGAGTATATGATACGGACGTAGAACATACAAAGCCACGAAACATAGTCGCAGAGACGACTATAGCATCGCGGTGTATAATTCACCTTCTAATAAACGTCATTTAACGGTATTTATGGCAAATCTAAATGCTCGATCTTTATAAATCCTCGAGACTCTCGTGACTATCACGATACGGTAAAAACTTTTTTTTTAAATCATATTTGAATTCAACGGGTTAGTAAAAGCCAGATGCAAATAATAGTGTGTTTCAATTTCAAGCAAGAATTAATTTTCCTTGAAACTAATTAATTGTGCACACAGGGCATCAATTTTTCTTGGTACGATTATACCGAGAACTTAAATAAATCTCAATTTGCGATTTTTTTCATTTTTAATAAGCTCCTCTGTCCCATCTAGAGAAGCAAGAGAGTTTCTTCAGAAGAGATGAAGAATTTATTAAAAATTAAAAAAAAATAAAAAATCTTGAATCGAGATTATTTGATTTCTTAATATTATACCAAGAAAAATTTGTGCCTGGTGCACAGCTAATTAGTTAAAGGACAATTATTTTCCAAAAAACTACTACAGATCATAAAAAGAAGGTCACTTATAGACATCGATATAAAAATCACTTATAAAATTCCCAGTTCCAGTCCCTTTCTCGAGATAATTGTGATCATTATAAATTGGCGCGTATAGAAAATCCACTGCATTGCGACTGCGACTCCCAGGAGCTCTGGGAATGGCTGCGCGATCACCAGAAGCTGGTCGGCGGCAGGATGAGCCGGAATCGCGGTGGCGAACTGAGGATGAACGACGTGGACACCGGCCTGTTGAGATGCGAGCAGCCGCCGGAGCTGCGCGGACTCGTATTCCTGGATCTGGACCCACGCGCCTTCTGCACCGCGCCTTTAATATTAAAATTGGCGATCCAGGACATCCAGCCCTTCTCCGTGCTGGTGTCGTGGCAGAGCAGGAATCACTCCGGCTTGCGCGGCTATCAGGTGGCCTATCACGCCCTGGACAACGTTGACGAGGTACTAGAAAATACATACTCTCTCTCTCTCTCTCTCTCTCTCTCTCTTATTGTGTATCGCTAAAAGCGAGCGCGAGATACAAAGCGGAAGGGGGAGGCATAAATCGAGAGCGGGGGCGCGTGTAAAGTGTAAAACGGCTTGATTCAATCGATAGTAAAAGCCTGGATGTGCTCTCTCGCGCTCTCCGCCTCCCTCGACGAGGCTCTAACTCATCCCTTGCAAAAACCTGTCGTCACATCCGACACCGTCCCGGCTGATCGATCGCGCGCGAGCGTGCAAAAACTGGCGCGCAACGTCCTGGATTAAGTATTTTCGCCGTTTCGAAGAAAAGCGCGAATTTATTCGTTTTTCGTAATTGCCGGATAATAGCGATATACCCTCGCACGCGCGCTCGTTATTTCACGAGGAGAGATTTTTGCGTTATTTATTTCAGCGAGGGGCGATAAAAATATTCTTCGTAAAAATGGTCGAAAAAGATTAATGTAGCTTAAATGAAAATATAGAAGAAGAGAGAGATCTCTGTATATATTATATAAAAATGTCGGAATATCATTATTAATAGATCTATCAATGTAAAACTCTCACACATTTTTTGACACATCGCGCGTTTTTCATTTCCATTTAATTCCTCCATTTTATTCAAAGCTCGCGTAGAAATACCGGGCATCACCTGTACTGCCCTAAATTCCAGGTACGTGCCAAAATTCTCGAGCCCAGCGCGCGCTCGGTGAAACTGTCGAAGCTGTCGTCGAACACTCGTTACCTGATCTGCGTGTTCGGTCTCGGTAATTGGATGGCGTCCCGAACGGAGGACGGCCCGATCGAGCAGCTGAATTTCACGCAGATCGAGATACTCGCGTCGACGCCGAGCCCGCAGATGAAGGACTCCACGACCAGCCGGTGCACCGAGGTGAAGACCCTGGACGCGCCGGACGCGATAATTAGCAGCGACGGCTCGGCGATGGGCGACGTAGGTAGCGTTAGCAGCTTCCTCACGAGGCGGCTCGGCCTGATAGTCGGCTGCTGCATGGGCTTCGTCGTCTTCCTCCTATTAGTGTCCGTGCTGGGCTATCTCAAAGTGAAGAAGCAACGAGAGGCGGTTAAGAGGGAGCAACAGCCGATCCCGCCCGAGTACATATCCTATCGGCACTTCAGCATACAGAGCGGCGAGGCCGGCCACGCGGCCGCAAGGCAGACCAGCCAGGACGGCCAGCATCCGAACTTCATCAGCAATACCACGTTGAACGTATGAGAAAAGTCGCGGAACTCCCGACTCGTGGAGGTTTCGAACGTGTGAGAGAGCGGAATCGAATTTGGATTCCGCGCGTGTTTCCCCGGTTCGAAGGGCTCCCCGACTCGCGGAAGTTTCGAGTTTACGCGCCAAATGATCTCAAACTGTCCGTGCCGAATTTTCGACACGACGACGCCAGACTGTTTTACGAATTTCAGAAACTGTTCGCGGATTTAGCGGACGTTGTGCGCTCAAGTGATACCGCACCGAGAGGATGCGCAGGACGGTAGGAACGCGTTTCCCTTCCTCCGACCCTCTTCTCACCATCCCTCGACTCCTCCCCAGGCCGTTTTATTCCCGAGAAACATTATTACCTGACAAAATGAAGTTAACGGCAACGAAGAGAGTTGAAGCAGCGAATTCAGCAGTAGTGAATGAGCGTGTGCGTGAGAATGCGCGCGCGAATGGGATCTTTATTAAGTAAACGGAGCGTTTTATAAAACGATTTTCTACGAGTTCGAGTTTCGTTTCCAAGTAGCTTTAATCATTTCAGAGTCGAGAGACGTCATATTGGACGAGCGCGCGCAATCGGACGGATGAAATGTCTCGTGAGTGTTGTATATCAAACAGGAAATTGATTTTGATAATGTCGCAAGCGGCACGAGCACGAGTTTTCTATATCTTCTCTCGTATATGCTCTTAAAAAAAATCTTGTAAGTTTTGAACAAGACGAGATGCATTAGAGTACCCCTCTCCTCGTCGTATATCGAAAATTTAATTACAATAGCTCAGTCGAACACTATCTCGAAAATTCCGCTTTGGAAAATTTCCAATTGGTATTTTCAAAATAATACGCGTATAGAATGTCAAAATCAATATACCGCGATCTCTGATGCATCAAAGCTGCGAGATGCATAAAAAGAATATATACATAAAGTATATCGATGTCAAATAAATACAAGAGACTGTCTCTCGGATACAAAGAGACGAATATCATTTTTATCTAGCGAAAAATCGGTCCAATTCACGAACGATGAACAAGTACAGTCGAAAGAGGAAACCCACCCTCTCACGCGTCTTTTGTAAAATAATGCTCCGTCTTTTTCAAGAAATATGAAATTTTCAAGAGTGTGTATGCGAAGCGCGCACGATTTCGCGTGCTCCCGAAACGATGCGACGATGTAAAACGATAGGTAGGTAGATTTTCCGTTTTCGTGTATATACATATACGTGCGTGCGTGCGCGCGCGCAACGCGCATTTGCCGAACGATTTACGACTAAACACTAGCGTTATTACACATCGTCCAGTCGCCGGATGGAGATCGGAACCGGTCGTGCGAGGGACGCGAACTGACTATTGTGTTTTCTTAATGGCTCGGCAAACCGCGCGTCGATCTCGCGAAATGGCCAGGCCATTTCGCGATAAACGCTCGCGATGACGGTACCATCAATTTCCGATTTCTGGGCTGGCGCGAAACGTCAGGAAGACGGGATGGAAAAAATTGCTCACCTCTATACGCATACATGTACGTGCGCGATCTCGATTTTGCGCGCTCCAGATTCTTCAGCGATGAGAGAGGGTAAAACGAAAAAAGGAGAAAAAGAAAATGTAAATTTTTTTTTTCAACAAAATATTTTCAACCCCTGCGGTGTGTTAGCATTTCAGCGCACAGTGTGAACCCTTTAGTTGCAGCGGATTTCGTTTAAAATTATACGATCCTTTTATAACTAATTATTCGCGATATGTAAATGAATTCTTGGTATTTTCAACGCGGAGATAAGAAATTCAGTTAAAAATACGAAGAGAGAGATACGTATTTTGTTAATGTGTCCGTAGAATATTAAGACAAAATAGGTAAGGTATAAAATTATACATCGAGATTGTACCGAGATTATACGAACTTTTACCTTTTACCTTCTGGGTCAAAACTTTTGTCCCCAAATGTCTAATTATCGCTGAAGAATTATCGGCAATTTCGACGAAAGGTGACGGTCCGTTTTGACGAGGATATCGTTTAAAAATCTATAAATATACATGACGAAATACGTGACGATTGTATATATAGATAAATACGTATCGGAAAACTATGTATATTCTGTGGTTCAAGGATGTCACGGATTTATTATCGTGAAAATTCTGATGATCTCTTAAATAGCGAGAAACAATAGTAGTTGAATTAGCATCGGCGCGACGATTTTTTCCCCGATTTTTTCCAAGGAGCCCCGGAAAACGAGACGGGTCCATCAGAATCTTTTATCACTGTGTATCGATAGCGACGGACGATATGACGCAAGTTTCGCATTAGCGATGAATGACGCGCGGATGGAGTATTTTTTCCCTTTTTCCGGAATTCGATGTATAGACTGACACACAGATTGATACTCGCTCGATATCGCCAATAACCGATGCCGATCATTGATATCGCAATTTCGCGACAAAATATCGCGCTCACCGCAGAGGAATTTTTAATTCGAACTCGCGAGAGAGTTGGACGGAATTCAACATGACGCGTTCACAATTCGACAGGGACGACGTGATTATCGAGGCAATGCAATATCCAGCGAGCTCGTTAGGAAAAATCGTTACGAAACAACGAGCTGCGGAAAACGCGCAGCTCGACGTGTCCGATGTGATCGTTCATTATCGCATTACCGGATCGCATTCGCGGACGGCTCTGAGAAAAGGGGCTCCGGCCAAAGCAAAAGAAAGGAAAAGCAAAGGAAAGGAAAAGAAAAAATCCACGAGAACGAGAGATCTTTCGAATCGCGGTGCGAGGTCTATGTGTATGCGTTGTCGTTACACACTGTGTACTGTAACATATACGTACGTCACTGTAATAAAAATGCAAATTCTTTTGTAATCAAGTGTTTTTCATCTCCGGCACACCTGGCGTGCGTATACGGGAACCCGATGGGACGTATTAATCCGGAGTCCCGATATCGTCCCGGTATGCGACGTGATTGAACCATAACCGGAGCACCAGAGTTTTCCTTACATCGCCGTACGTTTGCATAAGAAGGGAGAAAAGTTCTCGACGTATATAGGTCTCGTTGACCGTTATCGCGAACCTCTTTGTTCCCATTGTCACCCGATTTTACGGACACACGCAAAAGAGGGCGTATCGAATCCCCCCACGTTGGATTACGTTGCATTAGAAGTTGTACGGCTTCCAGTTGAGTGCGGTTTATATTGAAAACAGAATGGCAGAATATATTAATTTCAATCGGCGATATCGGAATTTGACGAGCTCCATCAAATTCGCAATCGCGCACGGACCCGCCGATGGATATAAATTGACAGCTTTACGGCAGACGCGGAATATACGAGGCAATCTCTATCGCTACAGGGTTGCTATCACAAAGAACGAACAGGATGAGAATAACTTATTAACGGTAAGCTTTGTAGAATTTTTTTTTTTATTGCTTTTCATATCGACTTTTTTTTCGATCAACGCGTCTTCAAAGGTAACGATCGAACTGACGAATCAGCAATATAAGAATATTACGAGAATAACACAAACAAAAAAAATACTTTTTTTGAAGAGAGAAGGATTTATTTGGGTAAAACCAGGTTGAAATTGAGATTAAAATTGGAACTCAAATTGAAGATGGTCTCAATATTTCTTTCTCTTAATCATTGGTATCTCAATATAATTATGTCTCGACAGCTTTTTTGCGTTCAAGAATTTTTAATAAGGTTTTATGAAGAATAAAATTTTAATTTACCGTTTATAGACGATAAAATTAAAAACCGCATCGGACAACAAAAGTCGAATAACGCCAGGATGCCTATCGCTCGTACGTGATCTCACATGGGACGAGACCGATTTTCCAAGGATATCGCGACGCATCGCGGGATGAAACGCCGAGGCATTTCCAAGAATAAACGGAGGGGTTGCCTCCCTCGGGAGGTCGCAATTCGGAATTCGTAAAGTATGCGGCTGTGTCCTCGTTTATTTCGGCGAGCGCCCGGTCTGCGCGGTGTCTCTTTAAAACCGTCGTCCCTACGCCTCGTATAAATTTTCCAACGTCTCGACGAAACGCTTCCCGTCCGCTTTATCGTATTTCCTTGCAATTAACCCCTCCTCACCGTTTCCGCGCACCCCCATCGTGGGCTGCAGATCGCGAAGTAGGAGCGCTCTGCATATTTCATTTGTTCCTGAGCGCGCTCCCTGAGCGCGTCCCGGTTTCGTTCTTCCGGAATTGCAAGGGCGGTGACCCGTGGCCAGGAAATTGAAACTCACCGTTAAGAACACTCGCGTGGTGCCGAGTCGACGACAGGACCGAGGACGGCGACTGCGCCGGGACTGCACTAAAACGGACGCGCCATTATTATGTTGTCGAGGGAAAAAAAGCAATTATTCTTGTATGGCTGTAATTAATGCCGGCTAATTAATTAACTCGACGCGCAAAATTCGTAATCGGCCTAGCCGATTACGCGGAAGAGACTCGCGGGAGAACGGTCGACCCGAATGCTGGCTATACTACTGATTATTTCGTCGATGAATGATCAACTAACCGTGCAATTTTTTTCCGAGATCAAATAATTCTCGATTGTTTAAAGAGATGATTGCTGTTATCACTGTGCCCGGTTCTTTATTTTAAATGCAAGGATATATCTTTTCGCAATTCAACGCAACTGTTTTTCGTATTCGCGGAAAAAGTTCTCAGACGTTATTTATCGGCGTTACGTAGCCAAAAAAGGATATTAAACTTAAACAGGATGATGCAGCATGCTTAAACATTAAGAACCGTGAGTTATTGCACACTGTCGTGCCATCTGTCTACAAGTCACTGACCATAAAAAGAAACATGGGTTTTAAAAAAATATTCTGGAATTGCCCTACCACATTTTCTATTTGACATTTTACGCTTAATGAGAAGTATATCTAAATAATTTTACGGACAAACAGATAAGATATTGTTTTCAGAAATATCGCGCTTGATGCGATCTTCGTAATTGATCAAAGTGACAATTTTGAAATATTTATTACCTGCAAGTTATAAAAAAAGATTTTGAAAAAATTGATAATTATATGAATATTCTACAACTTTTTAATCTGTCAGATATATTTGTCAAAAATCTAAAACCTCACTGCTAATATAATATTAATATATTGGAAAATAACAAAATATATATATATATATAATAAATGAGAAATTTTCTATCTTTCGATGAGTTTATCGGTATATATTGCATTTTCTTCTACGATCAGAAGAAATGAAATAGTATCGATTATCTTTCAAGCTTTCAATTTTGCTTGATATCTGGCCATTATTTGAACCATTTATTGAACATTGATCAAATTTATCCGAAACAGATAATTTACGAGTGTAATAGCATATAGCTTCATGAATTATAGATATAGCTTATAGTATAAGTGTATATACATATACATATATCTTAATGAGCAATAAAATTCGAAATTGCTAAAAGTGGTCTTATTACATTCCAAATTTAATGTATAATATAATGTATAATGCACAACATAATTTATGACATTATTATGCTCGTGGCATATTTAACTAAAATTTCACACCTTTATTAAATTTTTCTCTATGTTCAATATTCGCTCAATGCCCGGGGAAAATACATTATTTATTCGTATATTGCTTATCATATTTATTATTCATTCGTCACGCGGTTGTATTATGCCATAATTAAAATAATTCGTTTGTGTTTACTTCAACCTATTTAACTGGGTAAAATAAAAAAGTTAGTTGTTTTGCATTTTTAAGAACATATTATCCGGAGTCCAATTTTGTGGGAGCAGCGCAATGCTGATGTGCTTTAGAATAATTACATTGGATAAAAGCTAGTCATGTTGTTAATGATTTTAAATAGAAACATTTAAAATATCAATTCTAATTAATATCACATGTAAATAATAGAAAGAATTAATCCAATTAAGTTAGATATCTGCGATATTTAAAAATTATTTTTAAAACTTGTTTTATCCTTAATTTTTTCTGGTACATTTCTACTACAAACAACTCGAGCATATAATTGCATCGATCGTTGCACCCGCTATTTTTACATACACACACAAACACATATATACATACATGGACACATACACTCACCTAAACACATTTGCAAAAATCTGAAATTTTTCTAGAATGCATCCTGCGCGAAGAAGAACAAGAGTGCATCGCGTTCGATATCCAGGTAATATTACTATATCCTATCTTGTAGTAAGTAATGTACTTAGTCACTCCATTTTTATTGAAGACGAAAAGAAACATTATCCGTGCGCAGCGAATATGAAAACAAATGATCCGGAATAATGACGCAGACTAAAAACATACGACAATACTTGTCGCTTATAACTTGCTTATGCAGATTTACAAACTATTCTAAATGCTATTTATTTCTTCAATGCTTGCATTATTCATCTCTTTAATACTACTATCTTCTTGCTATCTTCAGTGCAAAATTAGAAAACTAAATTTAAGTCTTTTTTATTATTTAGTATTAGTTTATTAGTATTAATTTATATTCTCCACAACGTCTCTTGCATATTAATGTAATTATCATACAGTACTTCTCAATTATCTCCTGACCTCATTTTATGTCATATAATTTTATATCTTCAACTGTCAAATAAAACTTTTTTTTTTTTTTTTTTTTTTTTTTACAAAACTCTCATTTAAAAAGAAAATTTTATATTATTACAACTTTTTAAATTTGAATATTAAATATCTTGATAATAATCGACGCATCAAAAAATTAAAAGTTTGCCAAAGTCTACATATAAAGTTAAAAATAAATTTCCGTTATATACATTGTTTATAGTTTACACAATCAAAAATCTGATTAATATTTTTTATAATTTAAAAATAAATTATTTATCAACATTGCTGAAATATTTAGAAAATCACGCGTTATACACGCTATATAAATTCAGAAAATGTAAGCTAACAAAACCATCTTTTTATTTTCGTTTTTGGACTCAATATTTAAAAAAAAAAGAAAGCAAAGCAAGACTATGAAAGATAGATAATGAGAATATCGAACAATAATATCGACTTAATGTTTTAAAAAAAGAACAGAGTAATAAGATAAGGCCATGAAAAATAAGTAGTGAGAATCTCTGACTAGTCAGACAGTATCGTAAGTCGTAAGCAAAGCGAGCTGTCAACAGATCGATCAGATGAAATGTCAAGTTCATGTGAGAAATTTTTCAAAAGATTATATGTGCATGTGTGTGTGTGTGTGTGTGTGTTTAAAAAAATCTGCATGTAAAATATTAATATAATTATCTTAATGATATATAAGATATCATCATGTGTGCCACATACAATAAGTATTACTACTTTTTTGATTTCACATAAAATCTGTGATGTGATCGTGCGTACAACGAGATGAATAAAGTTTTAATATGGTTTTTCTATTTTTTGTCGATGACGTGACCGCGCATACGATGCGTATTAAAAACATACGTACAAAGTATTCATGCATACATTTTCGTATTTTGAATTATTAGCGTAGAGTATACATTTTTGTATGTACGTGAAATCAAAATTGTCGGCAAATGAGATGTAGACAGACGACGCCGTTGGCATTTCACAGGCAACCTTCTCGTAATACCGATATAGCTACGTTTATGATATTATATTATGGAAATAAGTCAAACTAAACGTTTAGTGGAATGTGTTTATAAACTTCACAACTTTTCCGCTATGAATCAGCGATGCGTATAAATTCGCATAAAAAAGTTTCGCTAAAACTTTATAAAAGTCAAATGAGAAAAAAACTAGAGTAAAAAAACCTACAAATATGTCGTAATAAAGCTAATATGGGATCTGTGTTGCGAGGATCCTTATATATTTTCTACTACGCGCAATGTCGCGAGCACAA